TAATTCCACAAAAAAAAAAAAAAAAAAAAAAAAAAAAAAAAAAAAAAAAAAAAAAAAAAAAAAGGGCAAAAAGACAAGTAAGAGCATAGAGAGTGCAATTGAAAATTGAAACTTGTGAGAGTAAGAAGAAAAGAACCTGTTGAGTTTCGAAACGTGCACAGAGTGAGAGAGAAACGGGTTTTGAGGCCGAAACTGCGCCTATGGTTTTCCCTAATCGACGTTGCGGGTTTTGTTTTAGGGTTTGACTCAGAGTTATCCTCTGCTAAGCTTACTCTGTTCATGTACTCCAACACCAACCAAAGCACCGGTGAATGACGGTAAAAGTGCTATTTTCACATAAAATGATACACTTATAAGTTTTCTTTCAGATATGGATATTCTACCATTTCCTTTTGACGCCGGAATGTTAGTGCATGTTTGTATTGGATTCTAAACGTGGATTTTCACCTTTTAGTAAAAGTAAGTGTAAAATATTGTTGAATGTGAGAGAGAGAAAAAATTACTTTTCAAAATGAAATCCAAACACACGCTTACTCTTGGAATGAATCATTATTCTTTATAGTTAAAACTTTAATCGGATATATTTTGATTCTTAAAAATATATTTTTATTTACTAGAATAAAATATGATTTTATTTTTTATTTTATACAGTGAAAAATTAGTATGATAATTAATGAGTTTGTTTAAAAATAAAAATATTAGCATTTTAGTTTATGTATTTTAATAGATAAAAGTACTATTATTCATATAAAATAATACGGTTATAGTAAGTTCTTTTTGAAATATGGATTTTCTATTATTTCTTTTTAACGCAGGAATGTTATTGTTGGAATGAATTATTATTCTTTGTAATGGAAACTTTAATTGCATATGTTTTGATTATTAAAAATATATGTTTATTTATTAGAATGAAATATGATTTTATTTTTCATTTTATATAATGAGAAATTACTATGATAATTAATGAGTTTGTTTAAAATTAAAAATATTAATATTTGAGTCTGTATTTTAATAGATAAAAGTACTATTATTCACATAAAGTGACACAGTTATAGTAAGTTTTCTTTGAGACGTGGATTTTTTATCATTTCCTTTTAACGCGGGAATGTTACTGTTGGAATGAATTATTATTCTTTGTAGTTAAAATTTTAACTGCATATGTCTTAATTCTTAAAAATATATTTTTATTTATTAGAATAAAAAATGATTTTATCTAGGTAGACTTACTCCTAAAGTAAACGGGTCCCTCCTCATACGAGAGAAAGATTTCAAATGAGAACACCTCTAATAATGAGAAACAAGAACTGTTGATAATAATCATTAGATTAAAATAGATAACTCAAATTAGAAGGATACAAACAATATATATATATATATATATATATATATAGAGAGAGAGAGAGAGAGAAGGGGTTTAAATGAGAACACATCTTATAATGAGAAATGAGAATTATTCATAAAAATCATTAAATTAAAATAGACAACTTAGATTAGAAGGATATAAACAAAATTACCATGCAAAATATAATATAAATGATTCTAATTTTCTTTAGTAGATTAATACATTTAATATATTTATTAATAAAACAAAGAAAAGTAAAACTAATACATTTTCAATTTTTTAATAGATTATAGTTCCATATTTCAGATTCTCCTATATAACATTTTTCTACATATAGCTCTCTATACATTAATATCTTGTTCACGCTCTTAGGTTTGAAAAATAAGTTAAAAAATATTATATTCATCAACTAAGAACACAACATAAGTTCAACTCATGTATTAATAAAAATTGATGGAGGAGCATGGACCAAGGGTCCAACCACCAGAGCCATGACCAAGAGACTTCATGATGATTCGACTACTTCAGGGCTTGGTGGGCCTAATGGGCTTGGTAGACCTAAGTTGTTTTTCACTTGGGCCACACTTTGAGATGCTTCATTTGTATATATTATAAGAGTTAATCACCTATACACTGCCAGTGTAAAGTTTTTTTACACTGGTAACCAATCAGATCTATTAATAGTGTCATGTCATTTGCTCATTTAATTAAATTAAAATAAAAAGGCACTATTAACATATTTGATTGGTTGCCAATGTAAAAAACTTTATACTGACAGTGTATAGGTGATTAACTCATATTATAATAGTATAGGCTTTATACATTTTGGTCTTATATTTCGGATCACATAGATTAGGATTTTGGGCCATAAGCTTAGTGAGCCTTAGGTATTTTGGTATCCAATATTGAACTCATTTTGTTCGTTTTATTATTTCCTAGTGTTTGTGATAGGTTGGCTATTGTATTTAGGCCATTAGATTAGGAATATAGAAGGAAAGTTCAATTAGGCAAAGTTAGCTAAATTAAGATCACATTTAAAAGTAATTTGAGTTGCATTCGGTGCACATGTGCTAGCCTAAGGGTGGCTGCACATGGTCCGTCCAAATCAACATCAAATTAACCCTAAATGCAACCTTAATGGACATTGGATCTACACATGGACATGCACATGTGGCTGCCAAGAAATTTGAATTTGAAATTCAAATTTCTGGTGCCAATTGTACTTCTTGAGCTTGACACCAATTTGCTTGCTTCCTAGCCTATAAATTGAGTTATTTCCTCCCCATTGTTCTCACTTTTGATATATGAGATTTTCATATCATTTTTTTCAGTAAAATTCTCTCTCAAAAGTTTTTTTTCTCACACCTAGATTTAGGGAACCTAGAAGGCTTTTAGGCTAAACCTTGTGAGCAATCCTTTACTCCTTTAGGCTTAGGTGCTTCCTTCTACATTTCCTTTGCATGTCAATCTCTTTTTCTAGACTTTGCATGTCTAGAATTGCCTCAAGGAGAAGATCAAGGAGTTGGAGAAAATCAAAGGAAGAGTTCATCAATCGTTTCTCCTAGGTTTGCCATCAAAAATGATAATGGTAGACTTAAGAATTATGAAACATAATTTAAAAATATTAAATATTTTTATCTATTACACTCCTTGAAGAGGTGAAACAATTCATTTTCCTATCAAGATTCATTACTATGACAAGCAAAACTTGTGAAAATTTATGAAATTCTTGGTAATGATATTATCATAACAATAATATATGTGTGTGTGTGTGTGTGTGTGTGTGTAGAAAGAGAGAGTAGAGTGATGCACTTACTCCAAGAGTAAGTCTATTTAAACTTGTTTCACTCAATAACTCATATTCTACATCAAATTTCAATGATCCAACCATTGACTTAAAAGTTCTTAATGAATAGATCAAATATGTAAAATTTAAAAAAATTGAATATTATTTGATACTCTATTTCATTAATTCATATCAACGTATAAAATATTTTTATGATTATTTGTCAATTTAATTAATGAAAAGGAGTATCACATAGTTTTTAAAATTTTTAAAACTTTGTAGACTTGATCTATGCATTAGTAACTTTTAAATTAACGATTAGATTGTTAAAATTAAATGTACAACATGAGTTATTGAGTTTATTCTTGGAGTAAATGAATCCCTCCTCACACACACACACACACATATATATAGAGGAGGGAGTTGTCTACTCGAGGAGTAAGTCTACCTAGACTTACTCCATTCAATAACTCATATTCCACATCAAATGTCAACGATCCAATCGTTGAATTTAAAGTTCTAAATACATAAATCAAGTCTGCAAATTTTTTAAAAATTTGAAAACTATTTGATACTTCATTTCATTAATTCAAATTGAAGGATAATCATAAAATCATTTTATACATTGATTTGAATTAATAAAACGATGTATCAAATGGTCTTCAAATTTTTTAAAAATTTGTAGATTTGATCTATGCATTAAGAACTTTAATATCAATGGTTGGATCGTTAAAATTAGATGTAGAACATGACTTATTGAACAGAGTAAGTCTAGGTAGACTTACTCCTAAAGTAAACGGGTCCCTCCTCATACATATATATAGATATATATATATATATATATATATATATATATATATATATATATATATATAGAGAGAGAGAGAGAGAGAGAGAGAGAGAGAAAGAGATGGATGAGAGAGAAAGATTTCAAATGAGAACACCTCTAATAATGAGAAACAAGAACTGTTGATAATAATCATTAGATTAAAATAGATAACTCAAATTAGAAGGATACAAACAATATATATATATATATATATATATATATAGAGAGAGAGAGAGAGAGAGAGAGAGAAGGGGTTTAAATGAGAACACATCTTATAATGAGAAATGAGAATTATTCATAAAAATCATTAAATTAAAATAGACAACTTAGATTAGAAGGATATAAACAAAATTACCATGCACAACCAACATTATATTTGTCTTTATCATAATCATTATCACAATTGTCATTGTCACTACCACCACCGTTATTGGTACCACTAACGTTGTAACTCCTACTGCAAGAAAATCATAGGTTAGTCGATTTATATTTTTTCATTATGATGTTAGTTGCTTGAGTAGTGGTAGTATGGTGACCTATCGCCAAGTCATTACAATGTTATATGGTAAAGAAAAATAGTTGATTTTTTAACTTTATTTTTTTAATCATTAAGTCAACTATATTATTTTATAAATTGAGAGAATTTTGCTTACTAAAAGTAATGTCCTATTAATGGATGTATTCAAGTGGGAGATAATTTTCTTATTCAATGATATAATTTTACAAATATATTTATTTACAAATATTTCTTATTCAAAGATATAATTTTCTCTTCATTTATTATTTGTAATCATTTTATTGTTGGGACCTATATTAAGGATTATGAGAATCTCTTATAAAATATTGTTATGTAATATCCATGCTACTGAAAACATAAAAAAACTAACCTAGGATCTCATGTGAATAGTTCCTAGATATATATGAAACATTGTGTATATAAAGGGTGCAAGAAAACATAAAACAATTCTTGGACATACGAATTAAAATATAAATCCCCTAATGGGGTCACATTTATCACTATATATACTACAACATGCACAAGATCAAAAGAACTAAAAGTAGAAGTCCTATTATTGGTTAAGACAATTATATAGGTTACATCTGAGTAGCACCAACTTTATAACCACCACAAACATGACCTTCTCTACCTCTAAGCACTACGCCAAAATTGTTTAGAGAGCAATTGTTTTTTTTACTAATAGAGAGTACTTTTTTAAACGCTATCTATTGAAACACTATCTATTAAAAAAGGATGCTTATAAAATAGTGTTATCTAATGACATGGTGATAAAACATCGCTTGGTAAACAAACGCCACGTATGTACCTACAAATAGAAAGCACTTCCTACAACAAGTGCTTTTTATTTTGATATACATAAATAACACTTCCTATATAAAGTGTTGTCTTTATATTA